TTGCATATCCAACTCCAAACCTCGAGTTCCAAACTTTATTCTCTGCCTCGGGGGCAATCCGGAATGTCAGTGCCTGAAGTGTGCTCGATTACGTATCACCCCAAACAGACCAAATCAATGCCATCCTGGGCCTAATCCAATTGTCGCTGAAAGGGCCCAAGCCAGGCGGCCCGAAACAACGAGTTTTGGCAACATCAAATGCCTTGACATGCCACAACGGCAAAGTCAAAGTCAAACCGATTGTGTTAAATCAAATGAAGCATAATTTTGACTCAATTTGTGTACGTATGCGGGCAAGTGCAGGCAGTTTTCCCCAGTTAACTCCAGCGGTCCCAGTGGATCGCTTAGCCTGTCATTCCGTCACCGAAGTCACCCACTTCCTTCCACAGTTTACTCCCACAATCGCAGAGGGTTGCTGTTGCCTTCTGACTTTGATGCGAGCGGACGGGACAGCATGGGACGGACGAGTGCCTCGGGTACATCATATTTCTATTAATGACTTGCATATTTATGAACCCCAATCCGGAACTCTTCTCCTTACTCTCTTGGCCGGAACCAAACCCATTCGAAATGGCCTGTGGGCACTGCTTCGGAGTCGAAATGAGTGCAAATAAGCTGATTTTAATAATAAACAAACACGAACGCAAACACAAACACAAATAGGCATCAAATGTGTTCCTAGTCTATTTGAGTTTTGGTCTTGGCCGCCAGCGATGGCTGAATCGCAGAACATATATTTTTAGTACACCGCCTCGAGGCGAGAACATTTAACTGGAATTCTTACACGGCTTCCCATTTCGAAATGCCCGCTTTCATCTGCGTTTCCAGCTACTTTGATGTGGTTCCCTGGCCACGGATTTCGTCAACATGTGGCTCCGTCCAACGAGGCGTGCACAGTCTTTAAATAAACAACAACATGACTAGGTCTAGGCAGTTGCCAAACAATATGTTCCACATTTGCATATGCTCATCTGCCTTTTGCACTCTGTTTTTTTTTTTGTTTTCGCAACGGCAACGGGAGTAACGACCCAAAGATCGGCTTAAACGGCTACTGCCACATTTGGGTGGCCAAAAAGTGGAGTAGTTACTGCCAAGTGCTCGTCGCTATCTCCTGCTTTTATAACCGCTTCTGTGGGGGCCCATCAACTCCGAGTTCCGAGTTCCCACAACCGCAGACAGGGCCTAATGCGAGGAAGACACAACAATGGGCATATCAAAGTCACAGCGACAACTAATAGCGCTCCCCTAATGAAGTGTTAGGAAATATCAGACAACCCGCTAATGAAATACTCAACTGACGAGCCCAGACCGGGAACCATAAAGCAACTACAAGTACAGGCCAAAAGTGTAATTGAGCTGGTTACTTTGGCCCTGGTTTCGGGCCTACCTCGGTTGGTACTTATTGATAATGATGGGAAACAGCAACTCGTTAGATAATGTCGTTTTAGGAATTGAACTTGAATAAGGGCTGACACTACGCGTTTTTTAAAATTGGCTAATAGAGAAATTTGTAATAATACCTTAATGTAATTTCTGGTCCCAATTTTCTTTAATTTTTTGTTTGTATTACGTAGCAAATGGCTGGAATCTGTTAAATGTTTTATTTCTGATTCCTGATTCCGGATCCCCAATTTTAAAATTCGTATTTCATAATTGATTTATTCCTTGTTTGTAAGATATGAGAGTTTATTAAATTTAGGTATTTTTATTTATACCCATCTGCCGTGCCATAATTATCTTCATTATTTGTCAAAAAGCATCTAAATTCCGAATATATTTTTGTACTTTGTAACTTTGTAAAAATCGCTTGCTTGCGTCAGTAAATAGCCTTCAACGTTTAACCAATTTTAAGGTTATTCCTATAATCGTTAACAGATGAGAGTCAGTTAAAGTTAGGTGAATTGCCAAATTTAATTTCCCAGCACATCCGTTCGATTTCTAGCGCACCGATCCAGAAGTTAGAGTTTGCATGGGCACAAAGCCTTGCCGAATTCGGGGAGCTACCCCCAAAAATAGTCATAGACTGAAGTAGACCTGTCTAGCAAATGGAATTAGGAAATCTTTTTCGCCAAATCCAACAAATCATGTTAAAGCCGACCCAGCGACCGGTGGGTGGGTGTGGGTGTGTGTGTCTAGCTCGGGAGAACGCCGGCGGGCAGAATGTTTACACCGCTCTCGGTTTTGCTGTTTTCAAAACTGTGCGGTCTGCCTGAAGTGTGGGTGGTGCAGCAAGGGGTTTGCGTGGGCGTATTGCGACATTATCGAGGGTGGAAAGACCCATCGAAGAACTGCCAGACGGCAAGGGCATAAAGTTTATATAATTATTTTTATGCCGACTCTCATAACTGAAGTGGAGCGTGTGTGGCTAAACTGAGAGAAATATATTCACAAAGGTATCATTGACAAGGAAATGTTGAAAAATCTAAATGCAAATGAAAATGCTTTAAACTTTGAACTTTAAAACTATATTTTTATCCTTGCTCATACAAATAGGAATGATTTAAACTTGATTCAAATCCGATTTAGTAGTCGAAAATGCACACAATTCTCGGAAAGTTATGATACAAGTATAACAACAAATAATCTCCCAACAATTCGATGCAGTTTATCACTAGTTTTTGAGAAACCGATATACAAATATTAAGTTGAATTTCAATCAAATTTAACCATACGATATTTCTTTATTTTGTTAAATTATTTCGCTTCAAAGTGACATCCAATTTTGGGATGATTTTTCCACGTGTGGGCCTATCTCCTGGGGATGTGACAGCCCTTTTCTCTGGACTGAGCCATTCGAGTTGCTAACTATGTGAGTTATGCAATGAATAAAATTAAATTACACAAATGTCATTGGCTGTGATGTTGTTCCGGTTGCTGCTCCCAGCAACATGTTGCTAATGACAGCCACAACCTGAACCAGAACTCGCATCCCGAGACCCGGCAGATGCATTTTAATTAAAATTCTGAAGAAGGGCTCGCTTTAATCTAAGGCCCTGTATCCAAAACGGAAATTGCGTGCGGCTGTTGAAGTGTCGGTTGTTATTGCTCCACCACCACCCACCACCCACCACGATCCACCCACTCTGCTGGTGGATATGCATGTTTGTTGTCCTGTCTGCAGGGTTGATTTGGCAAACGACGCAATTTGTTGTTGTGTGCGACGGCAGCATGGTGGGTCAGTGGGTGTCAAGTCCCGCGGAGAGTGGGGTATTTGCACATTAAATACCGTAGCGGAACCCAGCGGAGCTTTCACTTTTCCTGTAATGCCACATGGAAAAAAATTCGAATTGTATATGTTGTCGTTGGAAACGAATGGGTTTGAAGAGAACATCTATGTTTTAACTTGAAATTTACTTGCAAAGCTAATAATTTATGGCATTGAAAATGCTACTAAATAAGAGGGTTAAAATCTTCATCAAATTTATTTAGTTTTACGGGTTTTAACATTTAAGCTTTTCATTTTATTTCAAGTTGGACTATTAGCTAGTTTTTAGTTAATACAAATCTTTTATACATGTTACTGATAACAATTCTACGTGTTTACAAATTATTTTTATTTTTGTTTTCTTTTCAAAATCTTATCACTTTATATTTAATAAAACAGTTGTCTGCTGTCGAGAAGAAAAGTAGTACTTTTCAGTATTTAAATTTGTTAGCCTTATCTAATGGCAAATTTTAGATTTTCTTGCTTGCCAACTCAAGGTTGGGTGTTCATAGGAGTTCCATAAATTTTCTTCCAGTGTGCGTTTGTGCATCCTATTCCCTGGGGCCTCGTAAGTGTTGCCAAGTTGATTGTTTTGGCCTGCATTTTGTGTGGGGAGGTGAGGCCAGTACAGTACAGTTGCCTCCGGCCAACTCTTTCGTCTTTCGGATGGTTAATTGCCAGCAAAAGCTCTTCTTCTCAAACTGGACGGGATGTGTCTGTCCTATTTGGCGCGTAAGGGGCATATGAAATCATAAAATTTAACGATCGCCGGAGTGTCTGTCCGGCGCCATAAGCAGGGTGGCTTTTGGCTGGCCAAATACTACCCAGCCCAACCACCACCCAACTCGCTCAGCTGCTCGGCACGTGTTCAAATTGCCGTGAAGACGCTTAGGGGTGAATTCTCCGCAACAACAACAGCCGGCAGCCAAACGACATTCAAATTGAGTGAGTGAATTAAAAAACCTGGCAATCACGAGAGTCGCTGAAAGTCCTGGAAAGAGAGAGAGAGAGAGAGAGAGAGATACTGAGAATTCCCGACTGGAGAGAGTCTCAATTTCTCTCGGCGAAATGCATTTGTAGCAAAATATGAGCATACGTTCGAGCGTTCGCTTCCTTCCGTCCTTTGTTCGTTTTGCCCGATGTTTTTGGGGTTTGCTCGCTCCGGTTCGAGTTTCCTTCCTGCCGTGTGAGTGTGTGTGTGAGCGGCAAAAGGACTCTGTGAGAGTGTGTGCGTGAGAGGTCACGGGGATCGTGCCTGCCAGACTTTTATGCTTGTAAGTTTCAACTGAGCACAGTGGCTCACAGACTATTTGTTTGAGTAGCATCAGCAAATAATGTTTCTCTAAAACTATACTGCTTCATGAAAACAGTGTTTAAACTTCAATTGTATTTGATTTAGATTAGGCTGTCAAATTTGTAAAACTAACTAATCATGTTAGAACGATCAAGTTTAATAACCGGCAGTTAAACGTTCGGATCTCATATTGGCATACTTTCCTGTTGTAGAATCATTTTTGTCAAATTCGTATGCGACTGGGTCGGTTTCCTAATGTCAAGTTAGATTTTAACATTGATTTAAATTGCTCTGAACTAGAGACTTGAAATAACAAATTACACGATTCTTAACGATTGAGCGAGAACAGTCTTTGTATAGATTTGTCAATTTGAAAAGGAATATGTGTCTCACAACAATATTACAATATTGAGAAATCGGTCCATTATCAGTTATTTAGAAATAATAACATTTGCGCCAGATTAAACCAAATCCTCTTCCTTTACACCTCTTGCACCACAGTTGAAAAACGTTTTTTGCCCTTCAAGACCACTCTATGGCACTCTCTCCCCTGACCTCACACCAGCCCAACCCCCCTGATGTACACCTCTTTGGCTACATAATTTCAACAATATGCGTGCATTGAACGTTCGCCCACCGCCCTCGGCACCCCACCCCTCGTTGCCCCACGAACACCACCACAATCTACGAAAACGAAATCAGACATAAAAACATTAAATTACAAACCCTTATTTGCCACACACACACACACACACACTAAAAAAAGGAAGGAAAAAAGCCGGCAATCGTAAGGCGAAACAGCCAAAACTGAAACTGAAACTGAAGCAGAATCAGCGTAGCTGGAATCGAAGTAGGAATCGCAGGACTCAAGGACGTGAGGCGAACACGGGGCGAGTTCTCTGCCACCGAATCGACAAGGGATGCAAAAGCGAGTGCCTGATATTAACCCTCCGCTGCACGGCTGTGTGTTTGCATCTGTGTGTGTGCGAGTCTCAGAGGTGTGTGTGTGTGTGTGTGTGTGTGTGTGTGTGCGAAAGTGCCCCAGTGTTGGTGAGCCTTTGTGCGATGTGTTTGGGTTTTCGCCGTGCTTGTCAATCCCGTCGTGCCAAAACAAACGCAACGAACATTCTCGCCGATTAGAAGGAAGAACGGTCCGTGAGTGCAACGCGAGCGGAGGCCAGGCGCTCCGTCCGACGATTCCGCGTATTTTCGATTATTCCGACTATTGATAAGGCCGGCGGTTACGTAGAAATTAACCTTATAAATATTTTTTACTGGAATCGGATCGATGCAAAGAAATTATCGCGAATACTCGGAATCTGTGCCAGCGAACTCAAGTCAAACTCAATCTTTTCTGCCGGCCGCCTTTGTTATTGTTTGCCTGCTGGAATAGTTCTTTGAGTGGGTGTGTTCGCGAGAGTGTGTGAGTGTGAGTGCGCGTGTGTCTGTGCGTCAGCGCAAATGGCAGTGCGCATCTTTGTTTACCCACCAAATCCGAGGCTCTCGTAGAAGAGAAGTAGTGGCAGTGAAAGCGGCGCCAAAATCTTAGTCTAGTGCTTTTCCGGCCGAAACAATGAACAATTCGTTTGATAATTTGCATGCCGATAGCAATAGTCGAGTCAGCAACAACAATGGCAGCAGCAACTCCAACACCAACACCAACACCATCGATGGACCCAATAATGACGGCGAGTCGGACGAGGAGGTCATCGAGGGCATGGCGCTGCTGGAGGGCAACTACCAAGTGCTGCGTCAGTGGGTGCCTCCCGCCCCCAACTATTGGGATGCGCCCCCCAAGGCCATCATCAAGTCCGCCGAAGTCAGGTAAGCAATCGACTCGCAGCAGCAACATGCAACACTGCCGGTGCAACATCGCACCGGCCACACTGCGACGGCAGCAACATGCTTATGCAATTAGGAGTGCAATTGCCAACGCTACATTTGGCGATTGCCTTCAATAAGTTTTAATTAAGTGCTTCGGGTTTGATTTGACAGCGCATTCCATTTTGCTGCTCACAAATTGCACAGCAATTAACTCGAACCAACTCTTTTCAAGTCTAAGCGCAAGTTTAAGTCTGCACTGAGAAAAGTAGATTAACTGAAATTGTATACCACAAATGTACAATGCAGCAATATCCAGCGATAAGTCTATCGCGTTCAATATAATATCGAAATTATCGTTTCGTTAAAAATATCGAACTTTTAGGTATCACCAATCTTCCAAGCCAAGTTATTTTTATTTATATATTTATTTTAAATGTAAAAAACGTTGGATTTTTATCCCTTAAATGTATATATAATTCGATTACTGATATACCGATATATCATATATATTTATATATTACAAATATCGATATTTATCGATCGTGACATGAAGGCGGGTATTGATCAGTTTTGACACTTGAACGTCGATAAGCTTAGGTTTATTTATTGTGTGCTATGAAGGCGGTATAAAATAAAACATTAAATGCATAACAATTCCATATATCAACATCGATAATCATATCGGACGCTCTTCAAATATTAATTTCAATGTTTGTTGTCAAAGTAATTGAACTATGATGTTTATTGAAACACCAAACACTCAGAACCATTTTCCCCAGTGATACGTCGCTACGGATTCGATTGCACCAGCAGACCGCTCTAACGGTCCAATTCAGCAGCAGCACTTGTCGCCACGGCACTTTTCAATAAAAGTGCAGTTATTTGCAACGCACTTTTATGGCCACACATGCGATCCGAGCCCGATCGATCTGGACTGGGCGGGTCCCACTCCAACTGCCCCAACAAGACCCGTGTCCGGCCGATGGAAATCTCAATGGATTTGGCCTCGGCGCTTGACAAATAATTTTAGCGTTTTAACAGCTTGCAATTCATTCAATAAAAATTTGATTATTATGGGCGTCATCAAATGCGGCGAACAGCATTTGCATGTCGAGCGGCATCTAAGCGAACGCAAATAAATTCGTTTTAGTACCGTTGAGTACCCTGGTTTTACAAGTGGAAGCGGGTATATAAGTTTATGTTTGGATGAGAGACGCAATGTATAAAAAAGCTGATTTATAGAACTACTAACTTAAACTAGCATAATTATTTGGCTAGATAAATTTAATGTAAGCAAAGCCGTAATGTTGCAAAAAATATAAGCCAAACAGAATCCAAATGGAGTCGTAACCGAAGCCCTCGTGATAATTAACTTATTTCGAAATATTTTATCATTATGATAGCTTTGGATAGAAGCATTGTTTAATGTTATTATCAATGGGTAATTCCGCCTCAAACTTGCTTTGCAGGTTAACTTTTGCCACATTTGAAGTGAAGGTAAGCAAATCTAAAGAGGCCCATTTTTCATCCTTTGATCAGCTCAGTTTGTTTGAATACCCCTGCAGCTATATCAAAAAATGTAATATTCTGCTCAAGACATGTCGATTTTAAATATACCCGTTCGATTTTTACAATATTTAAAAAAAAAATTTTTAAGTTTTATCCAGATAGCTTTAAAGCTGTAAACTGGTATGCGGAGGAACGGACGAACAGAGTGATAAACCTAGTTGGACTCGCTTGATGGTGCTGACCAAGAGTATATAAACTTTTTAGTGACTGAAATTTTTAGTGGCAAATTTTTGACTGAAATGTTAATGCAAGCTCTTAAAAGAGTATTGTACGGAAATTTAGACGAAACCACGGGTAAATAATAACAATGTTGAAAAAAAACGTATATTGAAAATAAAAATTGTTTTACTTGATTTAACATAATTTTTTTGTAGTCGAATCAATTATAAAAATTATTGATTTTAAAAAGAAAACATATTTAAACCTTCAATCAATTATGAACATATTTAAATCAAAGTGAATATTATTTTAAAAAATAGTCCTCATATTAAAATCAAAGTTTTCCATCGTTATTTTTACTATTTTAAAGATCTGCATTTTTGTATAGTATGGTGAATGTTGTTTCATATTTGATTTAAACATTTTAGAGATATTATCAGAAACATGAAGCCATTTGTTTTGAATATGAAAAATATTAAAAACTTTAAAAGAAAATAAAAATGTGCAAAAAGGGATTAAGATCAAGTTTGACATTGTAGCTTTTACTATGAAGAGTAGTATATATTTAACATAGTTTAACAAATGTTGTTTCATATTTGATTCAAACATTTGAGCAATGTATTTGAAACATAAACATATTTATTATGAATATGGGAAATAATAAAAGTTGACACTATTGAAAGGTGTATTTACGAAGGTGCAAATTTTGCTTACTTAAAATATGTGTGTGTTCTTTTTTGTAACTATTAAACTATCTAGCAATTTTGAAGCAAATGAAAAAATGTTTCAATTTACTATGCGCATGATATGATAAAAAATAACTATTCGACATAATTATATTTACGATTTTCATGTGTGGTTCTAAAAAGTTAGGAAAAATAATTGATTCATTGATGAAACAGTGACATTTACTTTGTTTATTTTTTTACCAGTGTGCATAAAAACTGTGAGTAATATCGCTTAGACTTTTAAGCAAGACTATTTAGTTGATTTAATGGTAACAAGAAACTAAACATCTTTGGTTCGCGGAGGAAATTCCTTGGTATTGCTGACGCCACCATCTCCACACTATCCATCATCCATTTTGCATTGATAGCGGAGTAGCAGATTGCACGGGTTTATTTGTCTGGCTATCCGTCCGTCTTGCGTCGATCCGTCCGTGTGTCCAACTTCACTCAACGAGCGCCGCAGTTGGCGTCTGGGTCTCGAGTTGCTGCTGTTGCTGCTGTTGCTGCTGTTGCTGCTGTTGTCTCACTGTCAACACCAAGAGGTATGCAACATGCCGCTGCAAGAGGTGCGGGGTTGAGGGGGCAAGTGTCTTCGGTGCAGCCGTTGACAACTGCAGCATGAGTCTGCGGAATGGAGTCGCTGCTTGCCGCTTGCTACTTGCTGCTTGCTGTTTGCTGCCTGTTGCTGGCTGGCAAATAATGAATGCGTTGCTCGGGAGAATGCGAAATGGGAAATGAAAATGCAAACGCTGCCAGATTTTCATGCTGGATCCACTTGAGGCGGCAGCAACAATGTCCCCTGGTTTCGGCATGGCTTCGTTTTGTTTTCCTCCGCCGGGCCGTTAAGTGCAATAGCAGCAGTAGTAGCAGCAGCAGCGACGGCATTGTGGCAACTGCGAGTATCTTTTGCACGTTCTCAATATGCATTTCTGAATTACAATATGTTGATTGCATTTCGCCGGCACGTAGATGGAACACATGCACTCCAGGGCTTCCAGCCGCCATAATAATGATGAGTATTGCAATTGCCAACACAATGCAGTGCTCCAGCTCCATCTCCGGCTCCAGCCCACTCCCTTAGCCACTATCAGTCCCTATTCGGCTTCCTTTTCTGCGGTTAGGGCCGACGGCCTTTGTTCTTGGCCAGGATCCCTTTAACTCTTCCTCCCTTAGCGGTTCGGGCCAAATTACTTTATACTTTTGTACGGTTGGTTGCCAGGGTAATTGATATGGCTTTGTTTCGCTCGACTGTTTTCTGTGTTTCGCCCTTTTGTTGAAAGGAAAGTTCGTTTCTGTGAAGAACCTCAATTCACTTCCTCTTCCCAGGGGGCGGGGTAAACGGGTAAATCCTTGCCTACGCCTAGCCCAGACCACATGAAAGCTCGAACTCGACCTCAGACCAACCGCAGATGACATAATTAATGAGCCTTCGCACCGTCCATAAATAAGAAATAGTTCATACTCAGTTGTTAACGTTGCACATGCCTTGTGTATAAATCAATTTAATATTTCTCCTCTTCTCGTTTTAGGTAAGTTGACATACGACAGCCCCAACGACTCCTTTCTCTTTGCTGGCAGTGCCAGTCACAATGGCAACATCCACATCCACATCAACATCAACATCAACAACAACTTCTAGCAACTTTTTGAATTGTGTGAAGGCGGCACGTCAATGTCATTGAGTCCTAAGGTGAATGGCAAGGGAAATTCAAATTCGAACAACGAACAACGAACGAGTCGGGCCAGCTGCTTGGGCGAAAATTACGATGACTTGTCACACGAACCAGGTTTTTCTATTCGATTTTGGGTGTTATTTGGTGGGGATTGTTAGCAAATTAGCACAACAGCCAGTCTCATAAATTGCAATTTAGTTTGAGCTGGATATTAAATTGGAATTTTCTCCCTCCAAACTCCTAGGTTAGTAAGGCTTAGTTCCTTAATTTTGATTCAAAGCTACATTGCACATTTTTAATTGAATAAAGCAAGCCTACACTGGTTATAAACGTTACCAGATTTAAAAAAAAAAAGAAAAAAAACCAAAAAAAAATAATTTCTCGAGTTTTGCTCATATTTTTTTCCAGTAACAAATTAATATTACAGAAATAAATACGTCATACCAAAGCTTTACTTTTAAGCTTTATAGGCATTTTAGACTAGTCGCATCTTTTTCACATATGGGGAAAATTCGCAATCCTTTCATTTCTTTTGAAAACGTTAGTAGACCAATTAGGTTTTATAAATAAAATAAACATGCTTTACAAATTTCAGCCCAATTTAGAAGTTGTAAAGTTATTTTGGGAATATGTTTATATGAGCTGAAAAGCATTTTAAGAGAATTGTAGGGTGATGCCATCACTGGCCAAGATGCATATGTGTTTGGGACCATGCCTTTTTGTGGTAAAGAGTGTTGCCATTGTACTTTCTAATTTACGATTATCAGCAGATCATTGTATTTTCATAAACTTGACCTTAAGAGCAATTGTTCCTTACGAAAGTTTCGTGAAAATAATAATTTTGTATGAAATAGTATTGAATATACCCATCTAATCAGAACCTTTGTCGAATATTCGAAAATGTCTTTGCTTCTCTATACACAGGAAATATTTAGAGAATTTTTTTTCAGTAGCATATCATTGATGCGGTCTTGTCTAAACAGACTATTAAGACTATAGGTGTAACATCATTTTGGCCAAATTTCAAAATTAAAAGAATTTTTAAGTTTTATGGAATGTAGGTAAATAAGAAAATCGGTAAAAGCTAAGTAACTGTATGGAGAAGTGTAAGGCAGAATAAGCCATGCGTATACACTTATCCGACAGCATCACACACTTGTGTCAAACATCACCTTAAGGGCTGTGAAACTATATCAATCTACCAACATGAGGCGCACTCAGCACTCGGTTATACACTCCATGGGGAAGTATTCGGCGTTGTCGACCGGAAGTTCTCACCTGACCAACAAGAACTTCTTGGATGACCGTGATGGGGGTGAGCAGGGGTCCAAGTACTTGGCCGCCGAGACCTTGCAGGACATCCTGAACGAAGTCCTTCGCATGGAAAACTTCCAGTTGAAGCAGTCGGACACCAGCCTGGATCAGCTCTGCCAGCCGGTGGTGACCACGGGGTTGAAGAGCAGGTCGGCCACGAACATCGCCCTGGACGAGGATCTGGACATGGACCCGCGGCTGCGGAACTGGAACCGCGTACTGGAGCAGCGCCGGCGGCTGCAGGAGCGGATCGAGCGGCAGACGGGCAAGCGGGCCGAGGACGTCCTCTTCAACCGCTCGACCACCATCGACGAGGCCAGCAAGCGGATGATCCTGCGCGTCCTCGACACCGCCGACCGCTCGAGACCGCTCGTGCGGCTCAAGGAGAACGCCACGCTGGCATCGCTGAAGCCGCGCTGCGACCCCGACCTCTGCCGCGAGACCCACGAGCTGTTCGCCGCCAAACCGCTCCTGCAGCCCGTGGAGTTCGTCGGCCTGCCGCAGGTCACCCAGGAGGAGCTGGCCGCCACCCATATGACCCCTGAGGCGACCGAGAGCCAGTGGCAGCGCTCCAAGGTCCTGGGCCAGCGCCTTGAGGCCAAGAGGCAGTCCATCCAGCAGGTGCTCGAGTTCGCGCCCGATCTGCAGAAGCTGCAGGTCACGCCGGCAGTCGAGGTCGTGGCCACTGAACTGCCACCTACCACCAAGGTCGACGAGTTCGAATTGCGGCATATATCCGGGGATTCCACGGTGTCGGAGGAAGACGAGGAAGAGGAGGAGCCCGAGAAGCTGCTCTTTGAGGGGGATGGAGAGGGTGAAGGTGAGGGTGAGTTGGAGTTGGAACCCGAAAAAGTTGACATAGAGGAGGGCGTGGGCCAGGTGGAGACCCAAGATTTGGACGAGACTCAGGACAGGAACGGACTGATGGTCAACGGCAAGTTCCTCGATTACGAAAATCTAAGCGGCGCCACCGGCAGAGGCATTAATCTTCTGCTCACATGTGATCCGTACCAACGGTCGGTCAAGGTGCTACTGGACATCCAGGTAAAATCTGCTGTCACTTAGGAAAATTTTTGTTTTCAAACAATGTCCGATTTGTAAGTTAGAATATGTTAGACAAGACTAGACTTAATGGAAATTGATTTTTATACACCATTAGACAGTCAATAGTGCGTTAACAATTTTAATACCTACCTTTGTATTTACTTAATATGCTAAATAATTTATTTTGAGTAATTAATAGGATTTCGTTACAGTATGTTGGTATACTATTAAAATTGATTTACCATGCTTAACGAATATAATGGAAATAATTTAAAACCATATTTTCCTCTTCAACTAAAGCCTTATCAAGTTATAAATAATCCGGTTGAAACTCAACTTGTGGTTACACCCCTCCGTAGGAAATATAGAAAGGTTTTCTAACCTTTCCACTTCCCTCAGAACCTGAGCCCAAAGTTGGTGCACGTCGGTTGGTTAAGCAAGTACCGCCTGCGTTCCGACCGATTGCCGAAAAACGCCGAGCTGGTATTCGACAACAGCGAGTTCATCCTGGAGCCACTGGGTCGCCGTGTCGTCCGGGTGATGTTCCAGCCCCAAAAGGTGGGCCTGTTCACCCAACGCTGGTCCGTGGTACTCGCCCGCTCGCCGTTCTGCGGCACCCGGCGCCTGGACGTCGTCCTCCAGGGCCAGTGCACCATGCCGGCTCCCTTCAAGCGGCGCCTGGAGGCTCATCGGCAGTTGCCGGTGGACAAGCAGCAGCGGCTGCAGGCGAGCAACATCCTCCAGATGCAGGCCAGTCTGGCGCCAATCATCGAGAACCCTCCGCTCAGGTGTCCCTACCAACGAGTCCTGGACGATCGTGAGGTCTTTAACGCCCAGAACTTCTCTTACCGCTGCGACCGGTACGAGGACCTCGAGACCCTCAAGGACATATACGCACAGGCCAAGAAGCCGCGCGATCGGCCCTGGGACCTGAACATCGAGACCCTGCGCCGCGTCATCGGCCAGCAGGAGAGCCGCTTTCTGCGCGAGAGCCTCCACAACCGCCTGGTGGACCAGCTGCAGCCGATGAAGTGCAACAGGTGCTCCGCCTATCCCCTGCTGGAGCACAACCCGGAGCGGGAGCGTGCTCGCTTCATCTACGTGCGCGGCACCATCAGCAGCACCATCGACGCTTGGGAGGTCATGGCCCTCGGCCTGGACGACCAGTTCTTCAAGCTGGAGCTGCTGCGCTACCTGGCTGAGCGCACCTCCCTCCAGGAGCCCAAAGGACTGTCCCAAAAGGACCGTCGGCAGGAGCCGACTGAGCCGTCCAACGAAATGGAGATCGTGGAGCACGTCTCGAAGAGAGTCAGGACCAGCAAGTACCTCAAGGACTCCCTCTACATGCACACCTACGACCTGCTCTGCGATGCCGCCGAGGACATTGTGTCCGTGATCGAGAGCACCGCCGACTAGGATTCATCTGCAGATGAGATAAGACGATTTGTGAATTCCAAACCGTATAAATCGAAGCGAATAGCAGTGAACCTAGGCACAAATTGCGGTTAATTTCATTTTGCCCGTTCATATATTTTTTAATGCAGCAATATACAAATGGAATAAAAATATTTATAATGTAGATCAATTATAACAGGTTACTTAAATCCTCAAAAGACGTCATTGCAAAGCTTCTTGCAATATAAATCACAGTGGACGTCAGTATACATAGTGTGAGGAGGAGACTACTAATATATAGCCGCAGAAATAAAGATCGGCTGTGATGGTTAGATCGAAACAAGGGATATTCGGATCGAAGATGAGGGGATGGTCCTCCTACACTTTTAGAAAATCAATACTCAGTTAAATAAAATAGATAAATAAATAAATTAAATATACCCTCACAAGAAAATCTGGTTTTGGCTGGCGCCATCTGCCGAACAGCATTGTCAACACTGCAAGCAAAGAACTCTCCGCTGCTCTTCATACAAGCAGAGTTCGTTTTCCAAATAAGCAGTTACGTCATAACAAAACATAATTGCCAATAACTTTTAAAATAATGTCTCGATTTTCGAAATTGAGTGTCTACCGATATATAGGTATGTGAACAAATCACATACTCAGAGTCTTATAATTAAGGACAGAAAGACATGGCTAGAATGACTTGGCTATTGATCCTGATCAGATCCTAGTATACATACGAGTATAGGGTCGGAAACGATTCCTTCTACTCGTTACATACTTTTCAACGTTACTTCACGGGTAACGGGCAACAACCAATTTTTATATAACAAATTTTTCCAGAGAATTATACTTAACAATTTTATACTTCTTTGAATACGCAGAAAACTATACCAAGTAAACTTGATGATGAAATATTTTTCTTACAGCTTTTTGAAATAATAGTAGTCAGAAATGTGTTCTTCGGTTTTTTCAATACCCAACTCATACGGAATGGACTTCGAGTCATAGTATTGATGTACCTTAAGAGTGTTAAAAAAAACAATTGCACTTGCATCTCATAGAATATTTCTGATATCAAATTTTGTGACGAAAAACGATCAATCATTCGACTTATAAGTACGCTTTTTAAAATTTTATTTTATATCGACACGCATGTGGATCAACAATTATTATCGGTCAACGAGAAAACATAACATTTTCCAGGCTGTGGGCAACTTTTGGCTTACCATCAAGACGGAATATTGGACATTCAAATAAATGAGTATCAGCTGGCTTGGAAGCGATTGCCTCCATTTGTCTTCTTGATTCCACCTTGACTAACATCCGAGTGTTCTTATATTTGTTGTAACATTGGAACATTAACATACGGGAGTACCCAAACTCCAAGGCATCTTTACACTTTCACTCCTTTCAAAATGGACAACCAGGACAAGGACAGTGTGCTGGAGGAGAATCAGTCGCAGGCGATGGGGGGGGAAGCCATCAGCGAGACGGACTCCACACTCATCCGCAAAATCGAGTCCGAGCACTTCTCGAAGTTCACCCTGGCCAACTTGGTGTCGCTGCCCTCGACCCTGTCCGCTCCGACGACCCGCTCGGTGGCGCAGGCCCAGCTGAACGCCACCTCGCCCATGGGCAAGTACACGGAGCGCATGGTGGAGGACATCCTGAACGAGATCTTCGTGGAGCGGCGCGGTGACTTCCCGGAGACCTCCTCCTCCTGCCACCTGGCCGAGATGCCGTGGCCACGCGAGGAGCCGGAGCGGGAGCCGCACGTGGACAAGCGCCTGCGCTACTGGAAGGAGGTGCTGCACCAGCGCAAGGAGCTGCAGAGGCGCGTCCAGCGGGAGACGGGCAAGCTGGCCAGCGAGGTGCTCTTCAACCGCCGCTCCACGCTGGACAACCGCGACGGGCAGACGGTGAAGCGGCTGCTGGACTTCGCGGACCGCATGGAGTGCGAGCGTCTGATGACCGCTCCGGTGGCCAAGCTTCCCGACCTATGCGATCCGTGCTCCTGCCAACCCATGCCCGGACTGGAGGCCACGGCCCCGCGGGCCGAGAGGCTGGGCTACAAGGACGTGGAGATCGTGGGGCTGCCCGAGATCAGCAAGCGGGAGCTGCTGGGCAGGGAGGCCCTGCAGCAGAAGCCCCCGCCGGGTTGGCTGCAGTCTCCATTCCTGGACGAGCGGCTGGAGCAGCGCTTCGGGGCCATACAGAACGTGGTCGAGTTCTTCCCCGACGTGGCTAACCTGCAGGTGAAGGGCACGGCCATCGCCAAGCTGGAGCGACCCCCAACGACGAGCCTGGTGAGGGTGGACTCCCTGCACACGGTGACCAACAGTGACAGTCCGTCCGTCTGCTCCGAGGAGTGCGTCTGCGAGTCCTTGGGCGCCACGGAGGAACATTCCACGGGAATGGCGCCGGAAGTGCCGGAAGTGCCGGAAGTGCCGGAGGTGCCGAAAGTGCCGGAGGTGCCGGAGGTGGGACTGCGGGTGAACGGAGTGGACTACTTACCCGGGGAGGGAGTCAAGGAGTGCTTTGAGATCGTGACCCGCTTCAGCTGCGATCCCTTCCGGCGGCGCATCAAGCACGTGCTGCAGCTGACCAACATCGGCCAGCAGGTGCTCTCGTTCACCTGGCGGCAGAGCACGTACTTCTACAACCGCGGATCGCTGCTGCTGGCCCGCGACAACGAGTTCTACTTCGACCTGGAGGGCTTCCGGCTGGCGCAGGGCGAGAGCCGCAGCCTGGTGGTGCTCTACCAGCCCCGCAAGGTGGCCATGACCATGGAGCTGTGGCTGCTCCAGGTGCAGCCCCGCATCTTCTGCGGCCGCCAGGAGTCGCTGCTGCTGCGCTTCCACGGACGCTGCTCCCCGCCGGCGGACTACCTGGCCAAGCTTCTGGAGTGCCAGTGCGCCTGCATCTGCAAGTCGGATGCGCTGGCCATGGACAAGCTGACCACCCACCTGGGAGACCTGGCGCCCATGGTGGTGCCGCCGCCGGCCTGCTGTCCCTACGAGCGGCCGCTGGACGAGCGCGAGGCCTTCAACGCCCTGAACCCGGGCTACCACTGCACCCGCTTCGACGACCTGGAGGTGCTCCGCGCCCTGCACCAGCGCCTGAAGAAGCCCCGCGAGCCGCTCTGGGATCTGCGTCTGTCCACGATCAGGGAGCTCATCCTGCGGGTGGAGGGCCTGGTGGAGCGGGAGCAGACCTTCGCCGAGTTCACCGACCTCCTCGCTCCGCTGCTGGGCGGAGCATCGCCTCTGACCACCGCCTCCCAGCGGGACGAGCAGAAGCAACGGTCGCGGTTCATCTACGTGCGAGGTGTGATCTGCAACGGGATCGCCGAGTGGGAGGACCTCATGTGCAACGTGCAGGACTCCTTCTTCAAGCCGGAGCTGCAGCGGTTCTACCAAAACCTGCTAGGCGACTCTGAGCAGGAGGAAGAGTTGAGCGGGGAAGAGCTTCGACCGCCGCCGAGTCCGGTGACAACCATCGACATGCAGAAACTCATGGAAATCATCGGCGAGGCGGAGCTGGACGAGGAGAAGATCCGGGCGGCGGTGATGCGCCGCTTGTACCGCTCCAAATACTTCCGCGACTCGCTCTACATCCAAACCTACTCGCACCTGTGCAACATGTCCGAGGACATCGTGTCCGTCATTGAGAGCACAGAGGAAGTGCCCACCTAGTGAAAAAAAGATGCAAGGGGAAACATAAGTGACTACGTTGTTTTGAGATAAAATCAAGAGTTTGGTGACAGAAAGACTTTCCCCTTGGTCAACCTGTTGAAAGTGTGGCAGAGCTGCACTTACATTTAAAAATCAGAAGAGATGCAGAGGAGAGACAGCGGAAAGCTTTACAATAGATTCTTTAAAAATTTTTGGAGCTTAAAATTGTTTTATCTTAATCATATCTTTTTTAATTGCCCTTATCTGGGAAAAAAAATTATGAAATGAGATTTTTATGCGTGACGCGCTTTTTCATCTAGAAACATTTATTCATTTTTGTTTTTTAAATATTTTGTTTGCTTCTACCGATCTCATTTCAGCAATTTGTTTTCTTCAGGTGACTGTTTTGAAATAGTCAGTTTGGGGGGAATTATAAATGGCCTAGAGTAGGTAACTTTATGTACTGCAAAGAAAAAAATTATTCATACGACACTTAAAATCAGAAGAAATTGTTTGATCAAACGCAACTGAACGTATGAGTGATAATCTTTGAATCCAATGCACATACCCTAAAACTCATTATTTTCAAAAATATCTATAAGTTCTAGATTTAATATAATACTTTCGCTTTTTTCGGAACTCTTTAGACTTCGATTTTTGGTTTCTTCTTCGCCAGGGCGTTTTTTTTTCCATCTAGTTGAAATGCAGAACCTGTTTCTATTGTTACTTATTGAGGGAGTATTTATTCATGGGTCCCAATATCAATTTTGCTTTTGTCTTAATTCCACTTTAAGATAATATACACTCTATTAAACTTTAATCAACCAATCAAATGGTTATAAGATGTCCATTATGTCCCATTTACCACAGTTAAAATAATGTATTCGTTATCCATGTTGTAAAACATATTTTCGACTGTGGGCTTACTCTCGACCTTTAAGTCAAACACTTACATGAATATCGAGAGCTCACACCCTGAAAACGAATAAGTTTAAAATGTGCTCAAGTCCGGAGAATTTGCCGACCAAAGAGGGCTCCTCCGAGAACATTATCCAAACGGAAGGCCTGGGCAATGACCTCATAGACAACATTTTGAAGGAGCACGCTGAGCGTGGTCTCCACCACGAGTCGGACTCGATTGCATCTTCATGTTTGGGTCCCTCGTCAGGAAAATGTAGGACTAAAGTGGACCGTCGACTGGAGTACTGGAAGAACATGATTGTTCAGCGGCGGGCATTGCAAGAGAGGCTGCGGAACCAGGTGGGCAGGATTCCAGAAAAGATGATCTTCAATCGCCAGGGGAACGTTGTGAGGGTTTTTGGTGAGACTGTAGGTCTTCCAAGACATTCTGCTGCTGAATTGCTGGGGGGAAAAGATCCAAAAGAGGAGGATGACAACGAGGGTTTACCCAAAATCTCTAGTCTAGAGGTGCTGGGCAGGAGGTACCAGGACTGTCAGAAGGCCCTTCTGACTGTTCCCTACCCAAAAGTCACTTATAACGATCGCTCCGTTGAACTCTTCAAGTCGAGTGGAGGAGACGAGGTCCAGCAATCGCCGATTGAACCAAGCGTCCGTATCAACGGAGTCCATTACTGGCCACGTGTTCCGGCATTCTCGCCACTGGCGGATAGAACCTTCACTTGCCATCCCTTCCAGCGCCACTTGCGCAGCATAGTTCGCATCGAGAATAGCGGAAGCCAAGAAGTACAGTTCAGTTGGAGACAGGTCAACTTCTTCTCGGGCAACGACACTCTGATGGAAGCCTGTTCCGGAGATTTTGTGTTTGATGTGGGCCCCTTCATGCTTTCTCCGGGCGAGTTCCGGGATGTTACCGTTCTGTACCAGCCCCGCTTCGTGGCCATCGTCAAGCAGCGCTGGCTGCTCTGCACCAGACCTCGGATCTTCCTCTGCCGACCCTATGGCTTCACGTTGAACCTAAACGGTCGCTGCACTCCGCCCAAGGAGTACCTGGACCGCCTGCAACTGGAGAGACTACCGCGAGTTCCTTGCTTGCCGCCAGTGCCACTGGAGCGGCAGGGCGAGATCCTCTGTCCATATGCCCGGGAGCTGGAGGAGCGAGAGGCCTTCAACCGGCGCAACAGAAGCTTCCAGTGCCGCACACACGAGGACTTGGAGCGCCTGAAGGAGTTTTGCGAGCGGGTGAGTCTTTCGCCTTCGTATTCCCGCCCCTGGGACTACAGTGTGCACTCGCTCATTCATCGGGTGTGTCATGGTCAGGACACCCGGCAGCGCATTGAGCACCTGTCCGAACTAACCCGCCTGCTCGACGGCTTGCGAGGAGCACCTGATCCACCACTCGGCAGGGTGGACTTACCTGAAAGGTTGAGGGAACGCCACCGCACAAAGATGATTTATGTGCGGGGAATAATCGCCAGTTGCTTGGAGGAATGGCACGAGAGGATTGCCAAGGACTTAACTGTCAAGGACTCAATCTACTTCCAGTTGTACGGACTGTTGTGCAATGCGGCAGAGGACATTGTGTCGGTGATCGAGAGCACGGCTCAGATTTAGCTGTCGTCGAGCGGAAAATAAAAACAAAAAAAGGGAACCACAAACGAAACACTTGAGACACTGGCATGGAAAACTCACTTAAGATGAAAAGGGCAAGTCTGTTGACGCAGTCCTTGATGCAGACCGTGGAGTCCTGGGGGCAGACCGTGTCCTCGAGGGATTCTGAGACCCACCGGAACAAAGTGGCGAATCTGTCGGAAAGCACGGAGGTTGCCTTCCGCGAGCGGAACTCCCTCAAGGTCGTCACAATGCGGGAGAGCAAGCAGATAGTGGTCGACATTGTCCAGGACATGTTGGACAAGAAGCGGGGCGCCTTCACGCCGTCCGAGTCGGAGTGTTCGCTGGCCGAGGACCTGCGGGAGTCGCTGAGCATGGATCCCCGCCTGAAGCTGTGGCACGACACGCTCCAGAACCGCGCCGCCGTCCAGGCGAAGATCCAGCGTAGGCTGGGCCGCCGGCCCCACGAGATGCTGATCAACGTGTCGGCCCCCAGGGATCGGGGCACCGTGGAGCGGATGCTGGACCTCGCGGGGCGCCTGAGCCCCACGACCCTGGCCCAGCGCAAGCCGGCCGTCCTGCCCGCCCAGATTGACCCGCAGCAGTGTCGCATCCTGCCGGAGTTGCAGGAGACGCTGCCGCGGGCCGAGCGGAGCGGGCGGGCGGAGCTGGAGGTCAGCGGCCTGACCCGCGCCACCAGACAGGAAATCCTGGGCTCGGCGGCCAGGGACCCCGGTAAGACCGCCCAGTGGCTGGACTGCCGACAGCTGGAGGAGCGCATCGAGCGGCAGAGCGGCGACATCAGGCGCGTGGTGCAGTTCTTCCCGGAGGTGGACAAGCTAGAAGTGGTGGGCGGCACCTTGCACGAGGGACTTGGTCGACGCGTCAAGACCAAGCCGATCGAGCGGGTGTCCTGCGACTCCGTTCACAGCATGAGCAACTCGTCGCTATTCTCGCCGGAGGAGGCAGAGCAGCGGGCCGAGACTCGCACGGCCGAGCATGCCCCCGAGACTTGGACCACCGGGGCCGCTGTCAGGATCAACGGCGTGCTGTTCCACAACTGTGGCAAGCGGAGCATCGTGCCCGAGATCGCGAACGTCTTCTTCGAGTGCCACCCGTACCAGAACGTCGTCAAGGAGGTGGCCCGTGTGGAGAACGTGGGCCGCCAGGTGCTCAGCTGCCAGTGGGCCGTTCTGGACTGCAAGCGCACCGGCAAGCGGGTCGCCGACCGCTGGCAGGACAGCCTCGTCCTGTCGCAGCGCACCTTCACCGTCTTCCCGGGCGAGGAGCACGTGTGCCGGGCTCTGTTCCGGCCGCGTGGCTGCCACCTGCTGAAGCAGTGCTACGAGCTGCGCATCTTCCCGAACGTCGTCGGCACGGTGCAGAGCAACTTCGTGGCCCGGCTGACGGGTCGCTGTGTTCCGGCCCCGGAGTACACGAACCAGCTGAGGCGCCGTCAGCAGTTGGTCACGGACGAGTCCAAGAAGCAGATGGCCGACGACCTGACCCATTTACAGGCCAGCATAGTTCCGCTTCTGCAGCCGCACGAGGTGGTGTGTCCCTGTGACCGGACTCTCGACGAACGGGAGGTGTTCAACGCCGAGAATCCGGGCTACCATTGCGAGCGGTTCGACGACCTGGAGACCCTTAAGGCCCTGCACCACGCCCTGAAGAAACCCCGGGAGGCCGCTTGGGACCTGCGACTGGAGACGATCCGCGAGCTAATCCTGCGGCTTCCTGACTCCAACCAACGGACGCGGCACTTCGCCAAGCTAGTCGACGTCCAAGAGGCACTGAAGCGGGGCGGCGGCCGGGGTTCGCTCACTCACTATTGTCGGGATGACGAGAGGATCCGTTCCAGGTTCATCTACGTGCGCGGCTGCATTGGCAACGGCATCCAGGAGTGGGAGGAGCTGATGGCCTCGATGGAGCTGAATGGCCTGAAGCTGGAGGTGAACCGCTTTCAGGTCAGGCAGCAGGACGGGTGGGACTATAACGACACCGAGGACGAAGGATCGGAACCGAAGTCCTGGATGCGTCAGCTGCGCAAGGATAATCTCGGCTTGTACCTACTCAAGAAACTGCGCTCGAGGAAGACCTACAGGGACAGCCTCTACATGCAGACCTACTCGCACCTGTGTGACATGGCCGAGAACGTGGTGTCCGTCATCGAGAGCACGCTGAACGCCTGAGCTGGCTAGCAACTAGCTAAGCAACTAAACTTGTGGTGTTTGAATGTCAAAATTTAACGTGGCCCAAAGTCAGTGAGAAGTTGCCGAAACTCTCGTGAAGAAAAATACAGAAAAACTCCCCGGGGATGGTCTATTGATTTGGAAATCTATTAGCAGCGGGGTGGAGTGGGAAACTATTTCGCTGTCCGGGGACACACCTGTGCCCCTGATGCGGCGCAAACTTTTCCCATTACGATGGCCCTTTATGGCCAACAAAATTGCCCATTTGCCGGGCGACTTGTAGGCCCACACCTCGCCAACCCCCCATCAAGCTTAATGGGGCGCAAATGCTGGCCGGAAAAGTTTCGCAGCCGTCTTCGATTTGAGCTAGTTTGCATTGATTTGATGACACTTTGGGGGCCATTCGATTCCACTAATAAACGAGCCTCGTCCCGCCCCCCGGAGTTTCGCCTTCTGCCTCCCAGAGTTGGCGTGTCAAAAAGTTGTCTGCACACATTTGGGGGCTGCTCCTTTGACGTTCCTTGCCGTTTTTGGCGGTGTCTGAGGAAATGTGACGACGAACGAGGCCATTATGCTTGCAATTAGCCAAATTGATTTTGTGATAGCGTCAACGCCAGCCCCAAATTCCTATTCTCAGCCCGCAGAACATATTCATTTCGCCCTTGTTAGGCTTTAACTAATCGCTTGCTATTTCCATTTTATTTTCAGGTAAGCCAAGTGATCAACTCAGCCTGAGTAAATGCATCCGTGGGTAAGTCTTTGGTGGCCGGCCCCTCGGGAGCTTCACACGCCGCCGATCCACCATTCCAAATGCCATAAATCATGCATCATGGGGCATCCCAAGCAGTGCAACAAGAAGCAGCAACCAGAGGCGCTGTGTTTCCGTTCACACTCAGCGTCTAATTAGCCCACAGACCGCGTTGAGATGGTACTTATGTGCGGCCTAATGATCTCCAGTTGGAGTGCATGGTGACCAACTAACATGGTCAGCGGCTAATTAACCTTGAACCCGTCAGCATGGACAGCATGGTTGACATCGCACTTCTTCTCGTAGACTAATTAAGTACGTGTCATGGGTTGGGAAATATTTATGCTTCGCAGAGCGACTGAAAATGGGTTAGCCTCGATTTAAGTTCAAAATAATAAATCGCTCTTCTCTTGACTGTAGCTCATGCTACACTTTAAGATAAGTGTAATTTATTAACGTCACAAATTGAACAAATCCTATTTCACAGTAACCATCTTTGGAAACATACATTTATAACTGGGCATAAACACAAATCCATTTTTGTATGGAAGGGATTGTGTTCGATTGCTTACCATCTCTTTAGCTATACTCTAGTTAGATTGCTCCAAATTCTTTAACAAATTCTACAAGACAGTTTTCTTTTAAAGTAGCGCTTTGTCTATTTTTTGGTTCCTATTTAGAACTATTCCATTTCTACATCTTTAAAAAATTCTACAATGTAAAAAGAGATCTCTTTATTTATAATGAAAGTGATAATAAATCGACTTTAAATAATAATAATTAGACTTTAAATAAAATCAAATAATTTGAAAACCCATTTTTACCCATTGCACACGCAAAGGCTTAACTGAATAAAAACAATTATCAATTGAGAAATGTCTAGTGAGCTGCAAGTTTAATTTTTTTGCTAAGGAATTTTAAATCAATAACCCTCATCGCAATTGAAATTTCTAAATCGTACATTATTTAAGATCTTGGGATCTTATAGACAACCTCTTAAAAATATATTCAACGTTTAGAATGACATCTTGATAATACTAAAAGCTTGTGTTGTTAATCAAAATCTAATAATTTTTACATTTTAAGCTCAAATTTTTGAATTTAGCAGCTTAAAACATGAATCATTCCGTGAGGCCTAACGCAGCTTAGAGTGCTAACAAATATTACATGGGCCATCACGCTTAAATATACATACATGTATTTAGACTACATTTTGCAGTACACTTATAGGATGCTACTTCGAGCAGAGGTTGCATCAAACACGTTTTTTGTTCAATGTTGGAGTTGCAGATTGAGTTGAAGATCAAAAGAGTTAGGTTTTAAAAGTTATTTCTAGAAATTTACTGTAAATAAGCAAAATTTTGATATTGACATCGTGATGATACTAAAAGCTTATTTTGTAAAAACAAAAATTAAAAAAAATGTTGCTGAAACAAAATTTAATAATTTTAGATTAAAGACTGAAAATGTTTGAATTTGTCAGCTTATAACTTTAATCTTTCCATGATGCCTAGGAAACCCAGCTTTTAATATCAACATATTTTACATGGACTATAACGCTTAAATACATACATGTACACATGTAAACTAAATTTTGCTTATAAATTGTAGCACACTTATAGGGTGCTACTTCGAGCAAAAGTTGCATCAAACATGTTTTGTGTTGGAATTTTAAGTTGCAGCTTGAGTTGAAGATAAAAATAGTAATGTTTATAACGCAATTTTAAGTAAATTTGCAGGAACAAAAGTTTTATGATTGGCTGGGTATTAAGAGGCTTTAATGAAATTTGCAAAAGCATATATGCATAAAAGCTTGTTTTGTAAATACAAAAATTTTAAGAAAATTTTGGTTATAACAAAATCTAAAAATTTTGGGTTGTAAATTCAAATTTTTGAATTTGGCAGCTTATAACTTTAATCTTTCCATGATGCCTATGAAACGCAGCTTAGAATACTAACGCATTCTACATGGACTATAACGCTTAAATATACATACATGTATGTAAGCTAAATTTTGCCTATAAATTATAGAATACTTATAGGACGCAAGCACAGGTTGCATCAAACATGCTTTGTGTTCGATGTTGGAGTTGCAGCTTGAGTTGAAGACCAAAATATTTAGGCTTATAAAGTTATTTTAAGTAAATTTGCAGTAACACAAATTAAATGATTGGATAGGTATTAGATGGCTTTAACGAAAAAAGCGAAACTGAAAGCTTATTTGGGCGAATAATTGAAAAACCAGATTTGCGATCTGATCAACACTCCATCAAACACGACTCACAGCTAGGCATCCAAGCCCAGAGCGATCCACATCCACGGGGCTCGATCAGTTTGAAAGAGTTATTCGTTGCGAGCGGTCCACATTTACACCTGGCAACAGGTGCGCTTCGTCGTCGAATAATCCGCCTGATCGATCGGGTATTCGCCGATGTCGGTTTCGGTCCACGTTATCTTGCGCCAGATCTGTCATTTACCGTTTGCCAGCCAGATCGGAGCAAAGTGCACAAACATCCCAGAAACAGCAAAAAAAGCTGCTAACTGAATTCACAAAAAACGCAAAAAATTGACAAAAATAAGTGAAGTGCAATCAATAATCCAGAGCGATCCCTATCAGGGCGTAAAAAAGCTCCTTTTTGGGCGAAGTGAATTCATTCAACAACTCGCGGGGCGTTCAATTATGCTAAGAGCACAGGCCAAATGGCCAAGTGAGGTGCGATTTAAGCCATGTTTTCGCCTGGCGATTGTCAAGCCAGCGCATTCGACATTGCATTCGACATGGATACAAACGGATAACCGAACCCAAACCCCTTCCCAAGATACATACACCCTCGGATACAGATACAGATACAGAAATAGAGACAGAAACAGATACAGATACCTTTGCAGACACAGACAACAATAAAATTACATTAAAAATCAAATGAAACTGGAGACCGATTGATATGCGAGGCACAGGCGTCGGCCCGGCTGCCCTAACACAATATTTTTATGGGCTTATCGAGTGTCGAGAATCGTTTGGTCCGGGTGTGTTAGGCCATCGAAAGAGTTGGGCAACGAACTTGGCACTACTCGTACGTACATTGGCTTGATGGCTGTCATAAGCTTATGCACATTACACGTCCGCCAAAGTGCTCAGCTTGATTTATTTAGATACGTTAAGTTTTAATCGCCATTCGCTGCGCACTTTCACCAACTTGCCGCAGCATCGCGGAATGAAGTCATAACCAAATAGGCTTACGACCTGCTCCGGCACATAAAACATGACTTGTCTAGCCATAAAAACACTTGGCAGAGGCCCGAAAATAATTTGATTACCGCGCACTGAGCGGCTTTCTCCTCCTGATCCAATTAGCTTGTCGTGAGCCATTGGCAGATAGCCAAATAGCCGCATAGTTGGAGAACTGGAGGTCCAAAGCGGCATCGCAGCCACCCACAGAACTGTAATGAAACGGACTTACATGGCCTGCAATGTGTCAACAATGGCTTGTTAGCAATTGGCTTTCGAGCCAACTGTGTGCCTGTGTGGGCTTCGGGCTCCGACATGGGTTTGCAGCTGAAAACACCTCATTGACAAGAGACTTTTGACTCGCACCGCAGTGTGTACCAAGTGTGTGCCGAGTGTGTGGCGAGTGTGTGTGGGCCGGGTTGAAATTTATCTGCGATTTCTAATTGCCTGACATGCCAATTTGAATTTAAAGCGCAAGCGATAGTGGTTTTCATTTCTGAGTTCTGAGTTCTGAGGCGGATTCCTGCGAGATGCCATAAAGCATCACAACGGAACGGAACACTGCAGCTCACTGCTCACTGTGCCGCTTTATGGCCCGAGCAACTAAATCAATTTTCGCACTGCGGCTGGCTTCGATTCCGGCCTTTATTGAGAAATTCTTCATAATTATGTAGCGTCGGCCGGCGGCGGTTGGAAATAAAACTGTTGTTTATGGCCGAGTTGTGGCAACTAGTTGGCTCAATTATGGCGCTGCTGCATCAACTTTCTCCCTCACTTTGGGCCAGCTGCCACGGCTGCTTAACCCCAATCGACGCCTCTAACTGACTAACTAACTGGCGTGTTAATTTGTTGGCCAGTTTCCTCCGCACGCAGTCAGTCAGCCAGCCAGCCAGCCAGCCAGCCAGCCAGCCAGCCAGCCAGCCAGCCAGCCAGCCAGCCAGCCATTCAGTCAACCATCCAATTGCCGGAGCTTGAAGAGATACACTCTAGCTCGGAGATGCAAACCCCGAAAGAATCCAGCCTCTGAATAGATTGGTCACTTTACAGTTATCGCCTTGGTTAGCATAACAAAGGTCCGAGTGGGTCAACAACCTGAGCCTCGTTATGTCAAGTCGCGCTTTGTCCCACCATTTGCATATTACACATGTCTCACGTCCATTTAGAGGCCCAATTAACGAGCTATTTGCCAAGACCTCACTGGCCATTCATCAGGGCGAATTTGGCCTGGGAATTAATTAGGCCGCGTTATGAGCTCTTTGACGTCGGGAAGTCGTAAATAAATATCGGTTCCGTCGCTGGACATATGCAACCGCCAATTTGATCTGTCATCCTGTCAGCTCGCGTTAGTTTCCCAACCATCTTCCAGGCCGATAAGAACGGGTTCCCCGCGAAATGGAGCAACGTTAGTTTCCTTCCACCCGACGTCTTTTGATTGCATTTGACATTTAACACGAGTGCGCCGCAGATTAGAACGGCAACTGCCAACCGTCAACCGCCCACAAGGTTTTGGCGTTTTAGGAGGCGTGCCCGGCTCCATTTTCATTTTCACTTTGTTTTTCGTGGTCAGATCGGCCATATCGGTTTTATGTAAGCGCAATTAAAGCTCGAGCAGGCAACCCAATCAATTTCGGCGGGGACAAAGGCGTTTAGCACCCAGCTCCGGCGATAAGGCAGGCGTGAGATTATAATCGGACCCAGTGAAATATGAGCGCCAGACAATGGCTCATTAGACCGCGCTGGGCTTTGGCCCAAACTAGTTTGGCCAAAATGGTGGGCCTAAACGCGGTAATTATCAGCTTTCAGAGGCTCGAGTTTTAGCTGGGCCGTAGAGTGACAAACAAGTTAATCCATTAGCAAGTGAGACATCAACCGGGCCCAAAGCACATTTGGCCAGAACCGGAAAGAATCAAGCCTCACCACAATCCAGCCGCTATTAAGTGCATATTTCTCATTGTTTATATTGTCTATCTGGCGTACGGCTTTCGTATGTTAATATCGGAAAATGTGCCAGCTGCCATCCAGCCAAACAACCAACCAGCCATCCGACTGCATAATAAATTATGAAATTGTACAGTTGCAGCGGCCGCTGAATGAGTTGTCACGTCTGCTGCGGCTTTCTAAACCACTTAGATAGGCTGTGATAAGTCCATAGATATGTCGGATTTCCCGGCTGAATGGGATTCTTGATAACACAATTTCAGGCCCATGAAAAGCGGAATTCTCGGCTCAAGTGGGCGCTGCGAGGGCAACACAAAAGGTTGAGCACTGCGGTGAGCTGGCTTTAACTGCTGCTGCCCGGGAAAAAGTAAACCAAGACAAAGGCATTGACTTTTTAACCTGCATTTCAGTAAATTACACTCGCAGAAAACCTACATAAATAGTCATAAAACTAATTGCGCCTGTCTGCCATTTTCCACGCAGTTTCACAGTTGCTCAGTTTCGCAGCCGCCGGCCATGAAAACTTGAAGCCGACAAATGTCCGGCAATAAAAGGCACCATAAAGCTACTATGCGAGTATTGACCGTATGCAAAGGGGGCCTGGTCGGTCCTGGTCAAGTGGGTAATTCCATCTGGGGATTGATGACTGAGCCGCCAGCCACTCGAACTTAACTAGAGTCGCACGGAGAATCACAGATAATGGCATGCATTGTGCCCCGTTGGCCCAGTTGGCCCAGTTCCAGTCCCAGTCCGATTTCGATCAGCCACTGCCACTGGGTCAGCCATTATCAGATATTAACGCCGCCAATTTGGCATCGGATGAATTACGCGACAAGCGTCGATGGCGTCACTTACACATGTCGAACAACCGCCATCAATAAATGCTAACGGTGCCTCACGGCATCAACTCCAGATCGCCACTCCATTTGCAGTCGACTGGAGTGGAGATGGAGTCTGCCATCTTCTGTCTTAGATCGCTAGATCGCTAGATGGCCGGAAGTCTTTGTTTGGGCATTCACTGGCCGCCCGGCTCAAGTTTTGCTTTATGATTATTGTGTGATCGCGTTTTAACCGCATCGGAGCAGAGCTCATGTGAATCATGCGCAAGTGCCGCTTTTCCCACTCGAAGACCGGTTTCCCCCACTTACCCACTCATTGGGCTCTAATCACACCCGCTGTCTAACTGCAAATCTGGCCGGGATCGCGTGCTGCGGCCCCGACTTTGTTGCGGCTGGAAATCATCTTCCATTTCTGTGCTAGCCGGAAGCCAGGTTATGGCGGCAATTGTTCTTGTTTATAATTCAATTATGTGGCAGCCTCTTTCCTTCGCTCAGAGCCTCGAATGCTTGTTGACTCTCGAGGTGGAATGTTGACTTCTGTATGCACAGGAACCATTGTAATGATACGTATATGGCATTTCAACATGAATATATTTAGACGACTTAATTATTGTATAAAGAATTCTCAATAAAGTTATAAGTTGTTTATTTTTTGTAACTGACATAAAAACCACCATAAGCTTTGCTATAAAGACTAGCACTAAAAACTGAACCAAAAGACCATATTGCTTCTAATTGAGTTGTCAATATCGAACTGGTATTTTTTGCCCGTTCTTGTGATCTTTGATCTCAAAGTCTTTGGTAATCTGATAAATATTGGCTCCGCTCTTGATTGACAGCCTTTCCCTGGCATTGATCTCATAAATGCGAGCCAAGACTCCATTAAGGCGGTCTGCAGCACTAAGCTAAAAGCAGCTTAATGCACTCCGGGATGCCCAGATACTCAGATACTCACAGATAGAGATATAGGTAGAGATTGAGATGGTGGTAGAGGAAGAGGTAAAGGAAGAGGTAGAGGTAGACAAACACAGACAGGATACATATAGTACGTGGATGATGGTGGTAAGCTGCAATTGCTGTTAAGGCATTTGGCTACCACTCAAGCAGCTGCGGCAGTCAGCAGTGCTGATGATGATGAAGATGAAGATGAAGTTATTATTATCTGACAAGGGCATCGCCGCCATGGAAACTGCAGTGGCCGCGCACTTAGCAGCGCTGTTTTCCACGTTTTCCTACGTGTCTGCTGTCTTTATTAGAGGCGTGACTAATCGGCCCGATGCCTGATGTCTTAGCCCGATGCCGATGTCGATGCCGATGCCATCACCATCATCATCATCATCTCAGCTCTTAGCCATTAGCAGTGGTAAGCGCGGTACGCTTCGCTATTTGCCTTGCATCCAATCACTATTAAGGGTTAAGCCTGCCAATTGCCAGTGTCTACACAAATTTGATTAAGTTTCCCCTTTGGGAAACGGAAGGCGGCTTCCGTGTGCGGTTTGGGGAAAGTGTTAAATTTATGCCACGGCAATTTTCATCTTGTTCGAAAGTAAATTATAGGCAATCGATCAAGATGGTGCGCTTTTGTGCAGTGCTCAATTTGCGGTCGAGAAAGTTGAGTTTTCCTCAGGCTGTATTTGTATCTGCATCTGTATTACTGGGTAGTGTATTTTTTAAAAAGTGCGCGATTTTCGGGTTTTACCTATCTGAGTCGAATGAATGCAATGGTATATTAAACCAAAACTCTTAAATACTAATGAAAAATCACATATTGTAGAGAGAACTTAAGCCACCACTAACAATGTGAAAATAAATACCATTGAAAGCTTCGAAAAAACCACCCACAACCAATAAAGTTCAAAAAGGCTATAAAAAAAACTTACCAAATAAATTGCTTAGGAAAAGTGTAAAACAAAAAACCCCACAAGCAAGTAATTAAAATTCCACAAGAAGCTCAATTTACTGCAGAACTTTATAAGTCGAAAAACAAAAGGGGCCAAAAAAGCAGCTACAAGAACATAATGTCACTGCCAACAAGAGAAGACAACGAGAACTGAAAATAATTACAGGCCGAGAACAATAATAATAAGCAACATGAGCAGCCTGTCAGCAGGAGGAGGAGGATCGGGAGGATCTGGGGGAACGGGAGGATCGGGAGCAGGAGCAGAAGCCTCCACCAGCCAGCCAACAGTCACTGCCACTGGCAACATGGAGCCGGCGATGGTGCCACGTACCGCCAATTTGCTGGCATGCAAACAATGGTGGCGCGTCTGCTTTTTGTACGGCGACCAGCAGAAATATTATCGACAGCTCTATAGCAAGGCGGCGGCCCAGCGGCTGGCGGACGCTAATCAGGAGTCCGACAATGGCCAAGATCGGAATCGGGATCGGGATCGGGATCGGGACTACGACACTGTGGCCTGCGATCTTATCGCCGGGCAATTAGAGGCCGGCGAGGAAGCGGACGATGGCATCGATCTGGGCGATCCGAGGGGAGGAGCTGTGCCCACGGGTCGTCCGCTCTTCCCGCTCTCCTCCAACTCCTCCTCCTCCGCCTGCTCGCCGCGGCGCAGCAAGAAGCTCCTGCGATCCCTGCGCGCCCACGTCCGCGGGGAGAGATCAGGCAGGTCGGGTACATCGGGAACCTCGGTCGGGAGTAGCGAGCCCAGCGAGGTAACCCAGCGGAACGCCAGGGTGACCGTCCTGGACGACCCCTTCCTCTTCGGCATCGACGCCGACCATCTGGGCGATCTGGTGGTTCGCGGCAAGCGCTACAGTCCGCTGGACGCCGCCGAGAACATGGCCCAGTTCTGCGGCGAGCAGGAGGCCACGGCCCAGGTCCTGGAGATCATCGAGCAGGAGGAGGAGACGCCCAGGCCCGCCCTGCCGCCCAAGCAGAAGCAACAGCGTCCAGTGCCGCCCCTGCCACCGCCACCGGCGAATCGGATAGCCTCGCAACCTGCAACACCACAAGTGCAGAACCTGCAACCCCTGACCGCCGGCGATTTCCAGTTCCTGAATTTGAGCCTGCGGCACAGGAGTTTACCGCGCAGCATGAAGCCGTTTAAGGATGCCCACGATATCAGTTTCACTTTCAATGAGCTGGACACAAGCGCCGCAGCGGAAGTGGCCACAGGAGCCGCCCAGCAGGAGTCAAACGAGTGAGTAACCCTCCAGCCAGTCCATTTGTCAGTCGCAATTGGGCAGCCGCTTCTGCCCTCTACTTTCTGCCTTCTGCCAACTTTGCTGACAATTTAAATGCATAAGTTTTGTTCTCGCAATGATTGATTACCGGGAGCCAGCAGCTCGGGGGGAGTGGCTGCGGCAACTTGTTGCGCAAGCCGTTGGCCAAGCCAGGAGTCAATGAACACACATTGCGTGTTCTGCGACCAAGACGAACCGCAAAATACACGCAACCAGCCGGGGCCAGCAGCATCAGCCACTCGGGCAACTTGTTCTTGTCAGCCTGCCAGCCCGCCAGCCTGCCAGCCTGAAACTGAAGCCCCCGGGACAGTGGTGCCACCGCCTCGAAATTCCGAGCAGAGAAAGTGCCATGTATCTTTGTAAAAGCTAAACAATTAAGGGGACTTGTGATAGTGTATAACCAAAGTATCTTTGGCAACTTAGGTATATTGAAATTATTTCCTTATAATAATCGGTTCAAGCAAAGAATCGATTGCCTCCCAATGTAGTTTACCTCAAAAAACATATCACATTTCACTTGACAAAGTCAATCAAACCTTAAAACGCACAAGGAAACGATATTTTAACTGACAGCTCTCGACACTTTTAGTTTTGTGGTTTTGCTTAATTTTTTGAAAAAAATTCGAATCTGTCATAGAAAGGTATCATAAAATTAAATTATTCAGAAACACAAATCTTCTTTCAGAATGTGATGTTAATCGCTAATGGGTCTGTACTCCCAAAATATTATCATACATATAATTTTCGTTCTGCCGACCGACAAATTTTAACTTGTATAGTTTTCAGTTAGGTATACTAAAAAACATTTGATTTAATATCAAATCTTAACATGACATCCTACCATTATATGGCAAATTTGTAGATGAATAGTCAATTCTTCAATGAAAATACGAGGCCCTTTGCTTATTTAACGATTTCATTGGAGTACCGAAAGAAATGCTGAATCTATTAAAGACATTTTGATCATTAATCTTTGTTCTTAAAACCAAACTACTCTTAGCAATTATGTTGTCTTCAAGTTGAAATCTAATTTTTTGATCGAAGCTGTTTTCGCAACAAGCTTGTCCCAGTGTGCCTCTGACGACAGGCTGGTTTCGATGCGCTGCGCTGCACTCTGGTGGAGTGATCCGCTTCGCCCCGCGCTCCTCCGGCCATACGCATCACTCACCTCGACGACGGAGCTCTGGCTCCACTCTGGGTCTCCACTTACGCGGGCATACTCGGGTTACGCATACGACGCGGTGCCCCGGGGCCGGCGGCGCACAAACGACGACTGCCAAAGTGTGATTTACCAGGGGCCTTTGGCCGACCCGCTTGTCTCCCGCTCGGGTCCCACTTGGGTCCCAATCTTTGGGCAGATCGGTTGCAGCTGGAAGACGGCGATTTCAGTGCTCCGCTTGGCGAGCTCCGCTTTCATGTCATGATTTTGCATAATGCCATGCAAATATCGGGCCCTATGCCCAAGTTATTGTGTTTTGCGGATGGCAGGCACGCAGCTTATGAAATATGGCCGGCGATTGTTTTCCCTCAGCCGCATGACATTTCCTCCTTTTCATTCTGCCAGGGAATGGCAACCGTCGCTGGGGTGGGGTGGAAAAACAATATTGGCATATATTTCCATGGACATTTAAGGGCTTTGATTTAGTATGCAGGGCTTCGGAGCAAACAAAAGACTTAGGCAACGAACTCGCGACTTGGGTAACGGAGTGGGAGAAAGAGCCACAACTCAATTAGCTCTTGGCCAAGCTCATCATGGCGATGGCAATACTGACGGTGATGGTGATGGTGATGGTGCTGACGATGATCAACTTTGGCAACCACAAATTAGACGCCATAGCTCCGCTCGGGAGCTGCATTGCCAAACGGCCTGCTAACAGGAACCGCCAGCGATTCCAAGCGGTTTGAAGCGATTCGAAGCGATTCCAGCAAGAAGGCAATCAAAGCATAATTAATAATAATAACAGACGACGTTTTGATGTGCCCCTGACACGGCTTCAACCCGATCCGTCTGCAATCCGGTAGCCACACGCGATTTCCCATTCTCGATTCTCGATTCTCGATTCTCGGCTTCAGTTCTCAGTTCTCGCCCAGAAGCCCAACGGTTGCCATAGATGAGAGTCGCACCGCATTCGCATTAGTTCCCAGATCTATGCAAAACTGCGGAATCCGAATCTGGTTTCGCCTGGGCTTTTAATTGCCTGGGCCCCAGAGCGCCTAATGAAGATATTAAAAAATTGCACTGCAATAATTTCTCCGGCTCGGGCCGAATGAATGGCTTCTGGTTTGTTCACATTCTGCGCAGGCAATTAACTTGTGTTCAGCTCGTGTCCAAGCATTCAATTCAATCTTAACTGCCATCGAGTGCCGCATAAATCTCAGCAGCTTAACCGGGATCCTCCGACGCGGCCAGCGACTCCAGTTCGCGTTAAGGGGCGGCGTCGGGCGGGGACACATTTACGACTTGTTCGCCAGTCGAAATGCACAAAAAATCTCTGACGGATGAGAGGTTCCTTGGGAAATTCTAAAAATGGGTTTTTACAACCATCCATTCTTGGGTCTGCGCGGCAATACTTAATATTTACGGGCCTCGCAGGAAGCAATATGTTGCAAGTATATGCTGATTTTAGCAGGGACCAAAAATTATAGTTATGGGAATATAAAAATCAGCAGTTGGGATAAAACATTTTTTATTACATCAACATTTTTATTTTTTCCGCATTTTTCAAGACTAAAATAAAGAATTTAATTCTGGTTTTTATGAAAACATTTCTGTTTAAGATTTTTATTTCTACGAATCCGAAATAATCAGTAAGACTTGCGATATAATTTGTCTACATACTCCATAAAAATAGCTATTTGTGAAACTAAATACAGAATAAAATTGGAATTAGTTGCTCTGGGCTCTAAAAATGTATTTAAATTGTATCGAAAGGTGCCTTACTAACTCGTTGGTCACGAAGAGTTATCAAACATTAAGAACAACCGCTAATTCTACAGAAGATTATGATATTGTGTATACTAGAATCATTTATTTCGTATTGATCATAAGCTAACTTTTTGATTTAGCGTTACATTCGGCCAGATTGTTATACACCTCGTAGATCATCTTGCTATAGTCGAGCCAATATAGAGTTTTATCTTAGATTTTTAGAAATAAAAATTCCAAGTAATGATTATTTGAGATTTGTCTAAGTAAAAATTCCAAGTAAGTCCTCGGGTCAGAAAGAATAAAAATGACAAAAAAGTAGACTAAAAACTTTACTAATAAGCTTTAACAACTAAGAATCAATCAATTTAAGCAGAACTAAAGAGTAATGAAACTTAAATAATTATAAAATAATATTTGCAGTATTTACTACCTGAAAACGAACTTGAATGGATTGTAAATTTAAAAATTCATTTATTATATTTCAACAAAAATAAGGGATTTACATATTTTCCTTGCAAACGAATACAAATTAATGGCTAAAGAAACGATATTCGACTTATCTCTGTTGACATTATTGTTATTTTTATATTGTTATTGTTATTATTTTGGGAACTAGCGAAAAGTTTTGGGCTTTCACAGGTTGTGTTACTAATTGTAACTAAAATGTTTTGTTTTACTTATCAAAATATTTTCAGCCAAGACTTAGCTCTGTTTTCTCTGTGTAATGTAAATGTTTTGTGGAGGAGGTTGTAAAACTCTGTGGCAAATATGATATGCAATCAACATTTCATAAAATATTTTCTAATACTTATTACTTGCATAAAGTTAAGCTCAACTATGAGAATTTCCCAATTTATTTTTTATAATTGTAATTTGTGGTCGCTTCAAATTACGAAGCTTTTATCGTCGTTCTCCATAAGCATCTCAACTGCATCAAAGGTTCGCCACCACCATCGCTGCGATCTCTGGCAAGCCATTCGTATTGATTTTGTTTTTTAATTAACAAAGCCATTAGGGGCACTCGCCTGCGAGCTGCAAATGCCTCCGCCCCTGAGTAATGCGCCCATTCGGGGGGGCGTGGCTGCTGCTCTGGCTGCACTGGCTGTGTTGCAGATGCAACTTAATTGCAGCCACAAAGTGACGGCGGCGGCAGCGTGCATGACTTGGCCCAGACAATTGGCCAACTGCGACTCCAACTCCACTCCGCTTTGCAGCTTTGCAGCTTTCCAGCTTTGCAGATTTTTAGACGGCGCCAGAGAAGTGCGAGACAACAGCGACAACAACAGCGCCACGGCTTTGTGATTTATTTATGCACGGCGGTAAAATATGATTTTGTTTTCGTCATTTTTGCTTCGAGTCTCTTTGCTCCGGCCCGGTAATATGAAGATAAAGCAAGGCCATTAAGCGTCTCCGCTCATGTTAGCCATGCTAATTGCCCAAAGTGGCGAGGGGGGTGGGTGGATGGGTGGGGCCGGGGCTGGGGCCATGTTTATACGCATTTATGGCCAGCAGAACTGCGTCGCATATTAATTGTGTCTTGGGAATTTGGCTGCCCCTTTCCTACATTCAGCCAGCCGTTCCTCGAGCCCCTTAAGCCGCTGTCAAAGTGACTTGAAGAGAATTGAAATCGGTTTTGCTGGGCCCCACAACTTGTCTGCGCCCACATCAAAGCGATCGGGCCACACAAAACATGAACTTATGTAGTTTTGTGATACACACTCGCGTACATACATCAAAACAAGTGCGTTGGTCTGAAGGGATTTTCGGGATTAGTTTAGCCAAAAGTTGACACTTGACTGACAGATCAAGACAAACACGGGGAAATTCCTGGCCGGCAGTTCCCCCGCCCATGGCAACTAATTAATAAAACATTTAACGCGAGCACACAGACACGCAAGGCAATAAATTAATGGCTCAGAGGGCGCGGGGGGATGGCAATAGAGCGGCGGTCGCGTAATTTTTATTGACAGCTTCACTTTTTGCATTTAAATTGCCTGCATGCCACTGGACAACTAGCAACGACCACTA